AATTTCATCTATTATTTTTCAATTCTTCCAATCCTACCTATTATCTTTCATATTTATTTTAATTTCATCTAATCTATTATCTTTAACGAAAATATATGTTATTTTTAACGAATTTTCTTATTCTATAAGAAAATATTTAGTTCTCTAATTATATTTATTTTGATCTTTTAGTCCTTAAATTTATATTTATCATAAAAATAGTTTTTAATCTTATCTTGCTAAATGTGCTCTTCAGAAACTTGTTTTACAGAGCAGATTGTATGTAATTTGTCATGTAAAATTATTTAAATGCCCTTAATTTTATTTTTATATTACTTTTTCAAGAACATTTAAATAATTTTGGTTAAATACCCTTTTTGGTCCCTTTACTATAGGAAAAAACCCTTTTTTGGTCCCTGTACCAAAAAAATCCCCTTTTTGGTCCTTACTGTTAACAAATTCGGCCCCTTTTTAGTCATTCCGTTAAATTTTGGCTGATGTGGCAGGTTAATTAACGGAAACACTCATTTTTTTTTATTAAATTACGTGTAAAATCCACATGCCAAAAATTGATGACATGCAAAATTTTTTAATTTTAAGTACTGAAATACCCTCATCTTCTTCCCTGACTTCTCCTTCCTCCAGCCTTTTTTTTTCTTTTTTTTTTCTTTTACCTCCAGGCAAACCCAAGAGCCTGAGTTCGCAAAACCTAAAAGGCAACCATAACGAACAAACAGGGCATTACATATCCAGAAAAAACACAAAACATCAAATTACATCAGGCAGAACTCTCTCCTGCTACAATTAAACACCATTCAACCTCATCACACTCAGCTCAATACTCAATTCATGATCGTGCACTTAACTTCAAATTGTATATCAAAATTCCGAACAGCGTCAATAAAATTAATAGATATGAAGAAACTGAAATGTACCATTCTGGAGATAAGGCCCATATTTAGTAGCAGAAAGGTGCATCTTGATGTCGTCGAGGGTCTCGCACTAGCCAAGGTTGTTGTAATTGGCGGCAGTGAGGAGGTCGGCTCCGGGTGCGAACCCGTGAGCTGGTCGCGAACCCAGGCTCCTTGGTGCAAACCCACGAGCTGGGTTCGCGAGGAACCCAAGCTGCTGGGTGCGAACCCGCGAGCTGGGTTCCTCACGAACCCAGACTCCTGGGTTCACCTGAGGTAAAAGGAGAAAAAGAAAAAAAAAAAAAAAGAAAAGGCCAGAGGAAGGAGAGGATGGGGAGGAAAGAAGAGGGTAAATTAGTAATTAAAGGAAAAAAAATTTAAATGTCATCAATTTTCGAGGGGCAAATCAGTAATTAAAAGTAAAAAATTTAATCATGTCATCAATTTTTGCCACGTGGATTTTCCACGTAATTTAATAAAAAAACAAAATGAGTTTTTCCGTTAATTAACCTGCCACATCAACCAAAATTCAACGGAAGGACTAAAAAGGGGTCAGATTTGTGAACAGTAAGGACCAAAAATGAGATTTTTTCAGTACAGGGACCAAAAAGGGCTTTTTCCTATAGTAGAGGGACCAAAAAGGGTATTTAACCAATAATTTTTAAGACAAATTGCATACAACCTACCTTATAAAACAGACTACTTGTTTAAGTTTATTACAAATTTTAACTAACCTATCTTTATAAAATATTGCTTAAGTCATTATATTTTATTAAGATTATAGTGTTACCTTTTCAAAACTTAAAGGACTACCCTTTCACTGGTAAACTATTTTGAAATATTTTCAAAGTTTATAAATCATTTAAAAAGAAAATAAACTTTCTAAATTAAAATGAAATTAAACTTATAGTTAACAAACTAAAAATTGAATTAAGCCCAAAGG